AAAGGGTTAACTCAACAGGCTTGGGTTGTCCAAACACTACACATTCCAAAGAAAGGACTGGCTCTGATCAGTGGCAGGGAGATAACCTTTAAGTCCTTGAAATGTGCTGCCTAATTGGAGTGTCTTTGAATACCTGAGGGCCACAGACCATACCGGATAGTTTATACCAATAATGTGAATCATGGTGGGGGTTTTGGGCCATGTGGTATCAGTTTGAGCCTTGGAGGGGCTGGAGGCTGAATAAACAAGGTCAGCCACATGGGCATTCAATACAAATCCTAGACAGTAAGGCTCACGTGAGCTTCCCTGGTTGGCAAAACATCATACACACCACCACTCATCGTTGCTGGGAGAACTGGGGCTCTCTGCGAGTCCACCAGGAAGGGAAAGCTAAAAGTTTGGGTTCTGTGTTCCTCTAACCTTTGCTGACTTTAATCTGTATCTTTTTGCTATAATAAATCATAGCCACAAGTATAAAAAATAAATTTGGGGAGATTGTGGCCACTATTCTTCTGTATTTTTCTTCTGCATCTTTGCCTCTCCTCTCCCCTCGTAGGGTCCACGTTGTGTGTGTGGGCACACTTTACAGTGCCCTGCAGGCTCTCAGGCTGTTTTTCTTCATTCTCTTTTCTTTCTTCCTTTGACTGAATGATCTTAATTGGCCTATCTTCAAGTTCGCTGATTCTTGCTTCTGCCAAATATTTTTGAGCCCCTCTAGTGGGTTCTTGATTTCAGTTGTTGTACTTCAGAGCTTCTATTTGTTTATTTTTTTATATTTTCCCTCTATATATTGATATTCTCCACTTTGTGGTACATAATTTTTGACCTTTCCTTTGATTTTTTAGACATAATTTCCTTTAGTTTTTAAAACTGTTTAAAATAGCAAGTATAAAATCTTTGTCTGGTTTTTCCATCTGGGCTTCCCAAGGGACATTTTCTATTAATTGCTTTTTCTTTTTTGTTGCCATGCTTTCTTGTGTCTTTGTGTGTCTCATAATATTTTTTTTTGTTAAAAACAGCATTTATAGTAATTTAATGTGTCTGCTGTGGAAATTAGATCTTGCTCCTACTTTTCAGGACTTGTTGTTGTTGCTATTTGCTGCTATTGTTGCTCAGGGTTTAGGGGGTTTCCTGGACTAAGTTTCTAAAGGGCGTATTCTTTGCCATGTGCAGCTACCAAATTCTCTGCTTGGTTAGCTTAACGATCAGCACAGGCAAAGATTTCCCTGAATGTCTTGCTCCAGTAAGTCCCCCACTCTGTGTCAGGGGGCTCTTTGTGAGGCTGGAGCACGATGCAGGCTCACTTCCCGACTCCGGCCTTCATTGCCGGCTTGAGCGGAGCCTCGAGGTGAGCCAGGGGTGAGAGGCAGAGGCTCTCTCAGGTCTCCCCTGCATACACACACAGCCCTCTACACACATGTGCCTTCTAGATCCCCAGAAACACATTGGAGCTTTGCAAGGCCTCTTTAGACATCTCATCGCTTAGGTATTTGTTTAAGCTTTTGCATCAGCTTCTTGTTTGCTCCCAATTGCTGTCACCACTTCAGGCAGCTGCGACGTTAAACAATTGCTGCTGAGTGTTTTCGGCAAGCACTCGGGAGGCAGTGCTTTCCCAATGAGCAAGCTCTGCATCAGGCCACATAAAGACAAGTCCCGTGTACGGGCTTTTCCATGGGGCTCACAGACAGGCAAAATAGCAACAGTTCTCTGAAAATGAGCATTTGGGGAGCGTCAGCCCTGCTGTTGGCCTCCTCCAGTGGCGGCTGCTTTTCACAGGCACCGTGGTTGCAGGGCTGATGGTTTTTTAAGGGTTCCATGGGATGAGGGGATGGGCAGCTTCAATGTTGGAAACACTGCTGTTCTTAGCAAGATTTATAATTTTTTCTTGAATTGAGGGGTTGTTGCAAGTTCTTCATTAATTCCCACAGTTCTGCCGAGGCCCACTTTTCCTAGCGTTCCTGCTGCTTTTCTGAAGGAGCAGATTGTAAGAGGTCCTTAACCCACCATTCCAGAAGTGCTTCTTCCACTGAAGATTTAGAAAGGGTTTCCTGAGGTCAGAGGGGATAAAACAAACAAACAAAAACCCCAGCATGGAGGCGTGGGAGCTGTGGAAGCCCGCTGAGTGCCGCCGCTTGTCCTGCAGACTCAGCACAGGCTCCAGCTAAGCAGCATCTGTTCGCTTCCTCCTCACTTCTTCCTGCATCCTTAGCCTTTGTCCTTCCTTTGCCCACCAGGCCTGCCTTCTCTCTCCCTCCCCTCCTTCCTGCCAACAAGCATTTGCTGACCATCTCCTGAGGGCCTGTGGGCCCGGGCCCAACTCCTGCCCCAGAGCTTTGGTGGGGGAGAAAGACGCGTTTGCAGAGAAGACCACCAGGGTCTGGTGTGGGAAGTGCCGGCACAGAGGGGGCATCTGGGGCTGGGGGAGCCAGGGGGAGCCATGGATGTTCTTGGGAAGGAGGGTTCTAGAAGGAGAAAGAATCTTGCTTAAGCTCCACAGAAACAGGATCCCAGAGGTGCAAGAGTAGGGCCAGGCTCCCCAGCTGAGAAACGGGCCGGTGGGGCGGCCAGACACTCGTTCCGCTGTGACAGAGACACACAGGCCCTGCAGGGCCACGGGGATGTTTTCTGGACAAAGGCTCCCTCTGAAGCCACAGAAACCCCTGTTCGCCCCCCCCACCCCCCCAGCAGGCAGGCAGGCGCAGGGGTGCGCAGAGCTGTGGGAGCTGCAGGGAGATGTCTCCACCAGACCCTACCCCAGCCACCAAAGAGAGCCTTTCTCCAGGGGCCCAGGCGAAGGCCTGGTTTTACAGCGGAAGGCGCCCAAGCCAGGGCGTGCGCGTGTGTAAAATGATCCAGAAATAAACACCAGGCCCAGCCACAGCTCATTGGAGGGGAACATCTGCTTCGGGCTGTTCACGCCATCCTCCCCTTGGACCCTCAGTTTCCGAATCTGCAAAACGGGGCTAGGAACATGCTCATCTTGCAGGGATCTGCGAGGTGGCAGGAGAGGAAGAGCTTGGAAGGACTCAGCACGCAGTGTTGGGGCTTTCGTTGGCTTCGGGGTTGCTGTAAACTGGAGTCCTACTTCTAATAGGTTTTTAAGTAACTTGAGTAATACTATACTTTTTTCTAAAAAAGAAAAATCACTCTATATTCCTCACTTCCTTCCAGAATGGATGTCAGGAACTTACAGTAAAAAGCAATAAAATGTTTTATGAGGCCCGAAACAAGAACTGGGTGATAAAGTGCGTATTTGGCGGACCTGGGCGTGTGTTGTGTGTGTGGGGTGATTACACACAGAATCTAGAGTAAAGGAAGCCACGGCCATCAGACACGAAACAGCCTGTAGCTCCCGGACGTCAAAGCACACCGAGCGCCGCTGAGCGTGGGGGCGGCCTTTCCCAGCAGTGCGCTCTGGTGGGTTTATCGGGGACTTCCATAGGAGGAAGGAGATAACGCAAGCATGTGGCACAGCAAGCGGCCGGAAGCCCACCCCAGCATGAGGGAGGAGAGCCTGAGGTTCAGAGAGCCTCGGCTCAGTGCCCTGGCCCAGTTGGCAGCAGGGGGCCTCTTGGAGGGGTTTCCTCTGGCATCACAAGCCCGCCCTCCCGGTGGAGCTGCCTTGGGCTGAGCTCGTGTGCCTTCATTCATTCACTGTCTGTGCATTTACGTCCTGAGGCCTACTCTGTGCCGCGGGCTGAAGTCGGGACGGTGGCCCTGGCCGGAGGGTTTACAGAGGGCTTTTTGGAGGAGATGCTAGAGCTAGACTTTCAGGGCAACGAGTACTAGTCTTGGGGTATGAGGTCAGGTAGAGACGACATGGTTGGCAGGGGAGGGCAGGAGGGCAGGCGTAGAGGGGGAGGGCGGCAGGCACCCACGGGGAGGCTGAAGGGGCCGCGTCGCTGAGGGACAAGGAGGGGGCACCGCGGATGTGCTGAGGAGGAGGCTGCCCAGGACGGGGCATGGGAGTGGGGAGGGAGGGACCCAGGGCGATGCCCGGGTGTCTGCCTGGGGAGAGGGCGGCTGCAGGTCTCCTCCTTGTGACGGGGAGCTGGGCGCAGGCAGGCTGGGGGAGTGCTGGTTCAGTGCTGCTGTGGCCACACCCTGGGCCCAGAGGAGACAGCGTGGCTTGAGCCGGGGCGGGGGCATCACCAGTGTCCTGGCGCGGCCAGGGCTGGGGGAGAAGCTAGAAGAGGGCCAAGCAGGGCCCACAGAAGAGGTGGAAAGGAAGGGGGTCAGAGGCGCCGGAAAACACCCAGGCCAGAGTGGAGCTGGCAACACGGTGGGGACGGCGCTGGGGACGGCGCGGCCCGCAGCGAGGGCCGAGGAAGGTGGGCGGCAAAGCATCCGCTGGCCGGACCGTCAGGAGGTCAGTGGTAACTGCGGCCAAGATGATGTCAATGGAGTGACAGTGAAAAGAGACCAGGGGCTCCGGGGCCCGCGGGAGGCGGGGCGGAAGAGCGGGGAGAGGGTCGGGTGCGCGGATGCCTCTGAGGAAGCCTCGCTGCGCGGGGCGGGCGTGCGCGCAGGGGGTGAAATGAGGGCGGCGGCGCGGGGTGCCGGAAGGCGGCGGTGCGCGTTAGGCGAGCCTGCGGGTCCTACGAAGGAAGGCGAAGGGGCCTCCCCCTGGTGCCTCTGCCAAGGGAAGGGGCGGTCCGGTCTCGGGAGGGGTGGGGGCACCCAGGAGAACCGGGGCCGTGGGCTGGTTGGAGTCGCCCTCCGTTCCCACAGAGGGAGGAGGTGGTTGTTTCAGAGCGAGATATTAGGGACTGAAGTTGCCCCGGTCGATAATGAGATTCAGAGGGTGTCAAGGACTCAAAGGGGACAGTCCTGGACCTGTGATGTCGAGAAGCCAAGAAAAAGTGGCACAGGGCACTGGGCCCCGGGGACCGAGGGTCCTCAGTAACGGGGCGCCACGGGGACGGGTGCACCCCGCCGTGTCCCCGGCCAGGGGCAGACTCCTGGGCCTGCGTTCATGAACCAGGAAACCTGAGACTCACCGGGATCGCCTCTTCTTCCAGGCTTGCCACGCCGTCCAGGGGGCCCTGCACGGGGAGACAAGGAGAGGCTCGTTGAGAAGGGAAGCCAGGGGGGTGGGCACAGTCCCCCGCCGCCCGCCTTCCCATCCCGGCCTCCGGCTGCGGGAGAGGACAGGTGCGGCCTCCTGCTCCTTCGGCCTTCCCGAGCTGGTTGCGTTCTCACCCCTCACTCGCTCATGCAGTTATTTAGTTATCTGTCCATTTATCCATTCACAATCCCTTTGCAATAAAAAAAAAAATTACTATTTGGAAATTCTCGAGCTAGAAGAAGAGCTGGCAGCAGAGACACTTCTGGCGGATGAGAAAGGTTAAGGCTGAGGCGGGAGCAGCTGGTGGAGGCCCGGCCGGCGCGCGTCAGCCCGCCCTCCAGCGAAGCCCCCGGGGCAGCCTAGCCCGGCGGCCCGCGCCGCGTTCCCGGTGCCCAGCCTCGTACTGACGGGCCCTTCCTGCCCGCCCGCTGCCCTGCCCAGCTCGCCAGAACCTCCGGCCCCTCCCAACCGCCCCGCCCCCTAGTCGGGCGGACTCACACACTTCCCGGGGTTTATAGCCCATAACGTGTCCACCACGCAGGTCCTTTCCAGCATCCAGCTCCCTCTCCACATGGTTCGAGCCTTTCTGAATTGCTGATGGGGACCGTCCCGCCTCTGCCTTCTCTCCCTCTGCCCACGCAGGTCCTGGGAGAGGAAGCACTGACCAGCCCGCTGCCCCAGTCCGAGCTCCAGGCCCAGCGCAGCCGTCTGCGGCCGGAGGGTCTCTCCTGCCGGCCTCCGGTCTTACTCGCTCCGAGTCCTTCCTTCCTTTTCCCAGGTGCCGGGGAAAGGCATGCAGGGGAGAAGATACACGGACTAGACCGCCGCTGAGACGGCACCTTACGCCTTCTCTCCAGCCTCCGCCACCAGGCGCAGTGGCTGGGTGGTGGCCCAGCAGCAGGCGGACAGCCTGCGGCTGCATTAGGAGGCCCCACCCCTTCGCGTGAAGGTCTCCCCCTCCCCAATTCCCAGAACCACCGCCAAACAGAGACAGACAGACCGTGAATCAGGATGTGTGCTCGCGCGCGCTTTCTGTCCCCCCTGCCCAGGTTTTTAAGCGGTGCTCACCGTGTACCCCTGGCCCAGGGATGGGGACAGGGAAGAAAGACAAAAGCTGCCTCATGACGTTTGTTCAGGGGGAGGCCTGGGGGTTGGAGCTCTGAGAAAAAGACACAGAGCGTTGCAGGCCAGGGCCAGGGGAGAGGGAATTTCCTGCCAGCCTCAGGGGCTTGAGATCAGGAAGGTCAGACAAAACTAAAAAATCAAAAGCAGGCTACTTCTTGCACCCTTGAGTTTGTAATTAAAAAAAAAAAAAATTATTGTGGTCAAGAACATGTAACATAAAATTCACCATATTTAACCATTTTTAAGGACACAGCACTTTGGGGTTAGCGTATGTCCAACGCTGTGCAACAGGGTCTCTAGAAGTTTTTCATCTTGCAAAGTTGGAAACAACTCCCCTCTTCCCCCTCCTCCAACCCCCCAGAAACCTATTTCAGAGACCTCAGATAAGTGGAATCTTGCGGTGTTTGTCCTTTTGTGACTGGCTTATTTCACTTAGTACAATGTCCTCAAAGTTCATCCATGTTGTTGCAGGGACAATTTCCTTCTTTTTAAAGGCTGTATAATGTTCCATTGTGTGTACACACCACACATTCTGCGCGCATGCGTCCCGCCTGGCCAGGGCTGCCGCGGTGCTCCCGCCGCTCGGCTACCGTGAGCGGTGCTGTCACATGGGGGCGCAAGGGCCTCTGCCCGCAGCGGGTCTGCTGGCTCCTGCGGAAGTTCTGTTTTTAGTTTTTCGTGGCAGCTCTATACTGTTTTCTATGGTGGCTGCACCATTTTATATTCCCACCAACAGTACAATTTCTCTGCATCCTCGCAAACATTTTTTACTCATTGATTTATTTTTTGATAGTGGCTCTCCTAATGGGTGGGAGGTGATATCTCACTGTGGTTTTAACTTGAATTTCCCTAATAATTACTGATGTTGACCATCTTTACATATACTGGATGGTCATTCGTATATTTTCTTTGGAGAAGTGTCTATTCAAGTCACTTGCCCATTTTTAAATTGGTTTGTTTTTTTGTTGTTGAATTGAAGGAATTCTTTATATATTCCGGGTGTTAAATCCTTATCAGGCATATAATTTGCAAATATTTTCTCCTACTCTCTTCATCCTGTTGTTTCCTTTTCTGTGCAGAAGTTTTTAAGTTTGGTGTAGCCCAGTTTTTCCGTTTTGCTCCTGTCGCCTTTTAAATGTGTGAGTTAATGTTTGTTTGTGGGGGAAGGTAAGGGCCCCTCATCCTGTCGCCTGTGGTCATCGTTTCCCGGCCCCATTCGCTGAAGAGATGACTTTCCGCGTGGCCGGCCCTTGTCAAATGTGGCTCGACCTTAGAAGCGGTGCAGCCCTGGGTTCTGGGAGCGGACGTTCACGCGCCTACAGAGCCTTTGCTCCTCCCTGACACCAGCCCCAGCCCTGGGGTTCCCTGCTGGAGCCGCCCGGGGCCAAGGCTCCGGCACCCACAACAGACAGCAGAGCAGCTCCTCTCACTGTCCGCTGTAGCGGCTGAGGCCTGCAACAGCCGAGCAGCCAGCTGTCAACCTGGCATTTCCACATGGGCGTGTCAGTAAAACTTCAGGCCCCTCACGGCCAAAACGAATGTCATGACCTCCTCCCCGCCTTGGGGTGAACCTCATGATGCTGGTCCCGTGTCCACTCTTTTCTCCTCTCTGGACACCTCTGTTTTCAGGATGAGCCAGGGTGGGGGACCAGGAAGCCCACTGCTTTACGCGGTTGTCATTCGGAAAAGCGATGCGACGGGCTGTTGGCTTGTGGAGCGGATGTTGGTTTGGACAACATGGTTGTCCTGGGTGGTGACAGATCCCTACTGCCCCAGTGACCAGGCCTGGCACGCCTGCTTGGACAGCGCATTGTTCAGGGACCAAATGCACAGAGCCCACGGTGGGGAAGGGGGCACAGAGGGGAGCAGGTGGGCAGCCCCAGTGTCACACTCACAAGGGGTTGAGCCCGCAGGTACTGACGTTCTCTCTGCAGGGGGGACGGCCCCGGGGTCATGTGGCCCCGACTGTGTTTGTAAGAACAGGAGTTTGGCGGCGCCATGTACGGAGGAGCTACTTTGTGCTTGGCAGTAACCTTGCTTCCACGGCATTAACTCGTATGTTCCTCTGCCAAGCCCATGAGCAGCTGTTGTTTTCCTCTCCGTGTTACAGCTGGAGGCATGGAGGCTGACTGACCCTCCCGAGCCACGCAGCCGGTGGCCAGCGGCAGGCAGGGCTGGGCAGGGCTGGGCAGGGCAGGCCCTGAGCACAGCTCCCGCCCCCCTGCCCCGTCTCCCTGCACAGGGGGTGCTTACTGAGGGTGAGCAGTTACCACAGTCCACAATTTTTATAACTGCTTCTTGGTGTTTATTATTATCTTTTCAAAAATATTTTATTTATTTATTTTTAGAAAAAGGGGAAGGGAGGGAGAGACACCTCCGTGTGAGAAACATCGCTCGGTTGCCTCTTGTATGCACCCCGACGGGGGACGGAACCCGAAACCCAGGCATGTGCCCTGACTGGGGATTGACTTGGTGACTTTTCGCTTCATGGGATGACGCCCAACCCACTGAGCCACACTAGTCAGGACTATTGTTATTTTTTTAATACTGACACCACACAAAATGGAAGGGGCCCAGAGACGGCTCTCAGAGGTCCGTGAATTAAGCACCGAATCAAAAGGCTGCCTGCGCCGCCCGTGCTGGAGGCCCCAGGGAGGGGCTCCCGCTTTTGACCTGCCCTCCGCACGCCTCCGAAATGCCCGCACTCTCCCGGGTCAGTGGGAGCTTTGGTAGAGCGTTTACAACCAGACCACGGAGGCCAGGCCCACTCCTCATGCTGCCGGCACGCCGGGCAGAACCGTCTCCCGGGGACCCGGAGGGAGGGCCTGGGGGTGGGCGAAGCGAGGCTGGGGAGGGGCGGCTGACGCGTGTGCAGCCCGAGCGGCCCCGTGATGGGTGCTCCGGCTGGCAAGTGAGGCCCACGTGGGTATCCTGGCCCCGCTCATGGGAGAAACGGACCCACAGGTGAGGTGACCTGTCCTAGGTGGAGAGCAAGGCAGGAGCGGCAGTGGGGCCTGGGGCTCCGGGGCTCTTGCCGGCACCAGCGCCGCCCTCCTGAGGGTGTCCTGCTCGGACATGGGCTGTGCGCACACCCTCGAACTGAGGGGAGGACCGTCACCCAGAGGCACCCGGTGGAGGAGATGAGGGAGCACCCAGAGGGGCTCCCGCGGGGTCAGAGTGGAAGGGCTCACAGAAGGGCCTTCTTTGAAGGGTGTGCCAGGACTTCTAGGTCCTACAGTGGGGACTTCAAGGGACTCCTTGAGGGGTCCCTCAGAGTGACACACGAAGGCACGTGGGTAGCTGTGGTGGGACAGCCCAGGAACACGCCATTTCTAGGGCGTGGCAGAGCCCCTTTCCACAGCCCCCGGCCCAGGCAGGTGAAGGGAGGGTTGAGCAAACTCCATGAAGAGTGAAAAGCCCCCAGAGGGACAAGGGATACCAAGGCTCTTCCCTTCCATGGAGCTCACGGCCGTGGGAGCCCCTCTGACGGCTGAAGGGGTCCTGACCGGCCGGCAGGCCTGACTGGAAGGTGCGAGGAGGCAGGTCCCCAGAAAGGGGAGAAGGACCTTCTTGGGCCCTCAGCGGGTGGAGGCTGAGCCAGGTCGGCCCGAGTGCGGAGAGAGCGGGCGCCCAGGCTGAGGCGGGCACTGCACACAGAGCTGTGGGTCTGGCGCAGCAGCTGGGCGGCCGGCGCCTGCTGGTGGTGGGTGCCTCTGGGCACAGGCTGCGCGGTGGGTGCTGGGGAGTGACTCTTTGCGGCTCTGTCTACCCAGATCTGTGCTGGTTGTATCAGCGTCTTCTGAGGGCCCAGCAGCCCTGCGACCCTGCTTCCTGTTGGAGAACTGGCTCCAC